AAATGCCTGATCCTCATTTTCATGAAGAAGTTCAGGATGATGCAACGTTTGAGGAGAAGAAAAAGGCGGTGGAGAAGATAAGAGAGGTCAGAGAGGATGATGGAGAGAAGAAATTGGAGGCTGAAATCCAAGAATCTTTTCCATCTGAAGTAGTTGTTGATACAGATCCAGTGGATGTTGACAATACCTATGAGTTGCATACTTCACCTTTGAGGTTGCTTGGAGAGCTTACAGGAGATCCAGGTATTGGTTTTTATCAACAATGCTTCAGGTAAACTCACGCGAGATTGCTGAACCATGTTTGTTTCAGAAAAGGTGAGATTTTCCATCCTCACTATCAGGCAAGGATCAATGAGGACGACTTTGTTCGATCCATTCGAAAGGTCTGTCTAGTACCTCCACCTGATTGTTATGAGGACAGCCGCGAGCATGGCCTGAAGAGATTTTTCACCAGTGATGATCGCATCGTTTATTTGGATGACAAGTATCAGGTCGATAAAAGGGCCCTTGAAAGGGCAGAACAAGCTTGAGAAGATTTGGAGGTTACAAAGGAACAGTTTAGAGGAGAACTAGAGTCATATGGCCCCAAGGGACCCAGTTGGGACTTTGTCGCCTTCTATGAAGAGCTGTGCAAAAGGTTCCTTAAAGGAAGAATAGAAGAACAATATGGAACTAATTTATTGGCCAGCTCTGAGTCCTTGACATTTTTATCCTGGAACTATGGCAACATGGTTCGTGGTCAGAAATACACCACACCAAAGTTTCTCCAAGGACTTGATCGTGCAATGAAGCCACGCAAGCAGAGTGCCATGTCACTTCAATATGAGCAATTTGAAAACAACCTTTTCTTCAACATGCTCTTCTTTTTACGTGCACATGTCGTGATTCTCCAGGAAGCTCAGCTCCTTGTTCCTGCCAAGGAATTTATTGAGCAAAAGAATTGGACAGTTTGTTTCAATGATTGGGAGAATCTTGCAGTGATGGCTAGATTGGCACCAGATGGCTATATCAAGATCATTGCTGGACATGACCAAGACCTTGGTCACTGTCAACAGCGTGATGTAACTTGGGCTATCTATGAGATTTGTTTTGGAGAAACAAGGCCTCGTCAGGACTTCAAGGATGCAGACTATGAATTTGAGGACTATGGTCCTAAGGAAAAGCGTGTTCCACTTACTCGAGCGAACATGCATACCAACAGAGTCTGTAATTATCATGTTGACACACACCGTGCTGTAGATGCCCACCTATTGACACGAGAACAGACAGCATTGATGCTTTATGAATGTTTTGTATATGAGGTGGACATCATTTCTGGTGATGCAAATAGTTTGGCCTACAGAATGTCTGGGTACAAAAGGCAACCAACGGCTAACTATTATTACAGCACCATGCAGCATTGGATCCGCAGGTTTTCAGAAGCTCGTGTAAAAGCAGATCCTGGTATCAAGGCACCTATTCCCAGAACATTTTACAGTTCATCTTCACTTGTCCTCAAGCAGTGTGAAGATTACTTTGAGAAACTCTGGGAAGAATACTCTACAGAAGAGAAAGAAGTATACCAGGGATGAAAGCTTGGCGATACATGTTTGTCTACCATTGTTGAATGGGGTCATTCAATGAGTGGAGAGGAATATTCAAATTCCACATTGAGCACGAAGGAGTTCGTCTGTAATTTTTCAGAGAACTTTGCTTTGATTGACACGGAGGTCATGTGCTCTAAACCCTCTGACGAAGACAGTCATGGTCCAATGTTTATTTCACTCAGACCAGCTTCCTTTTCATCTGGAGACAGAAGACTTTATCGCTCGGGCGAGACTCTTCGAGATGCTAACTTGCGGAGGAAGGAGAGACAGAAAGAGAATAAAAGGAAAGGAAGGCCGCCAACTTCTGATCAAGCAGCTCCATCGACTGCAGCAGCATAAAACTCAGAGCGGAGGCTAACTTTTAATGATAGCTAGGAAGTGAAGATACTTCTGATTACAGTTGATACTTTGCTTCCAGGCTTGACTTTAAGTTGCTAGGCTGAAGTTTTAAGCTTTAGCATGCAGATAAATATAGTTTTAATAAACGGATATTATTTGCAGGTAGGTATGGGCAGTTTTGCAAAACTGATGATATCTACCACAGCCGCTTTTTCTGAAGTGACCTCTAATGGACAACCATTCATGGTTGATGATTAAGTCATTTCATAAGTTTGCATTTGTAGTGCAAGTTTTGTACATACATTTGCCGGTGTCTCCTTCCTTTTTGTTTTTGATGTCAATGAGAGAGAGTCCTTTTGATGCAGTTTAATTTTGTATAAGTCCTGTGTATGGAAGCGGCCGAGACCACTTTTCGAGAAGACTATTCCTCGGACCGAGAGTTGACGCTCCTAGCATTTTGCAAGGCATCTTAATTCATTGCAATTTGTGCGGTCTTGAATTTTTAGTTCTTCGTTACGCGAGTGTCGTTTACTGCTTTTACAGGTCTCTGTGCAAGAAAGCCGCTTTCCTTTGAATTTAAGTTTCTTTGAAGCTCTGGCTATTTAAGGGCTATTGAGCGCCGGTACATGGTATCTTCGCCGGTGAACGATACAGTCTCCAGCCGAGATACATTGTCTTTGACTTTGTATTTGAGGTGAGTCAGCTATTGCTCCCTCACTGTATTTAGTACACCTAGAGATTACCTTTTCTAAAGTGTGAAACACACTGGAATTGGTAAGTACAGGGCACCGTGGTTTCCTTTTAAGCTTACTAGAGCTTGCTGGACTGTTTTAGCCTTGCGGTAGAAAAATAGTGTGCGACATACGCAATAGGCAGGAGTGGACATGAATTTTGTGCCTGCTGAAATGTAGAGGCCTACTTGTACAGGTTCCACTCCAGTGGCCTATCTAGTGTGTCCATGCTTGACTGCCATAAGGCTCAAGAGACAAGAGGATAAGACTCTGCGCATAAAAGACACTAGCGGTCTGCACCTCAACCGTGTACGCCCTAGTCACTCTTTCACCCCCCGCCCCCTTGGAATTGATTTTTCAATACAGACCCCCCCCCCTCTAAAATCAATTCTCTCCTGGAGAACGTCTTCGTGAGCTTCTCATGATTTCAGGATAGTTGAAACCCTCTTGAACATTCAGAAAGAGTGAATATGAAATTCTAATCATGAAAGGTGTTCCCCGAGGGAATACATACCTAGAGTTTGTTTTGTGAAGCACGTCAATTCTCTCCTGGGGAGCGTTTTCGTGAGCCTCTTATGGTTTCAGGATAGTTCAAATCCTATGATGTTCCGATTCAATGCTCACCGATGATCTGAGCCATGGGGCAAGTTTGTTTTCCTAAGAGTCTTTTTGAACATTTCGAGAGCATATGTTTGAACATTTAGAATGCATATGAACATATATTTGCAAAAGGTCGCCTCCGAGGGGATAAATCACCATGTCGAACATTCCGTTTTTGTTCTTGCTTCTCGCGTTCTCTTCTCTTCTCGCTGTCCTACCTTTCGTGTCTCCCTCCTCTCAAGTTTTGTAAATATGTATCTATGTATATATCCATATTGATACGTATATGTAGACATTAAAAAACATGTAGGAACCTTGGCAGCACATTCCCACCAACATATAGGCATCACAGTCATTCGTAGGTATCGCAAACTTTGGGACTGAACAGTTGGTTGCCGAGAACCGGTTGCCTAATTCGCTTCCCATGGGCTTCGAGGACCGCGCATGCCAGGTGCCTAATGATTGCATTGTGAGCGGAAAAACCTGCAGCCAATGCCACCAAACAGATGTTGCCAGATTGAGGCCGTCCTGCAGTAACTCGCTGGGTTCGGCCTCTGCCGGGGCGTTGGCCTCAATTACGTTTGCAGACTAGTAACACCCAGCGCGAGGTATGTGGTTTCTAGGACATGAGCCTGTGTCCCGAAGGCATGGCTACATCCCGGATGTGGGTTTTGACCTTAATTTTTAATGTTGTTGGACTTGTTGGAGTTTCCAGCAAGAAATTGCTGAGGCTGCACATCGGGCCATTGTCATGTTTCTTCGTTTGCCCGCCGCTTAGATGGCGCATTGTTCAAATGAACACTTTGAGAGTTACAGTTGCGCTGGTGCGGCCTCCAGGTATGTCACATGAAGCAGCTCCACATTCTCAGCCGTGCAAACCTCAAAATTAGCGGAAAAACAGAATTACTTGCATTGTTGGGGTCGGCTGGCATTAGTGGGGTCGCAGCGCAAATTGAATGGTTTCAGAGATTACGACACCTGTTTTGCTGTGACACTACTCCACCTGGAAGTATATTTAAGTTGGCAGAGGACATGGCTTCAGATGGTTTCAGTGTCGCAGGCTGCTGTTGGCAGATGAGAGGGGCCAAATCGTAGTTCAGCCCAAAGCGCGCACGAATCTCAGACTTCACATGAGTGGTTCTTGCTGTTGATTTCGGCATAGATCCTGACTGGATGTGACGGCCTGAGGCCTCGAAAAACGTGAGCCCGAGGCCTCGAGCAAAGAACCCGTACGGTTGGCATCCCAGACACGGAGTGGACGTCCAGGTTGATCAAGGTTCCATTTGTGTTCCCCTGTAGACTTGCCATTTTGGCCCCTTTCTTCTCAACAGGAATTGTTTCCAATTTCTAACGCATGCTTGCATCAAGACTGCCTTTCCAACGAGTGGGGTTTTGTTTTCTGACATACACGGTTCCGTAATTGTTTTTTTCCTTGGCAGATGTGCCTCATCTACGTAACAGAGGGCATCATTCAAGCTTGCAACCGGCCCGTTGCCGCTTCAACAGATCACGCAGAATTACACACACACATGCAAACAACACAAAACTTGAGATGGCGTCCCTTCTTTGAACACCTGCCCTTTTCACTGCCAAACTTGTTGTTCTTGGTGCTGGCACAGTGGCCAGCACAGCATGAGACTTGAAAGTGCCAAATTCAAACGTTCTCGTTTTAAAAAACATTGTCTCCCAGTCAACCGTCCTGAAAAATGCTCTCAGACAGAAACGAATACGCAACACGCATGGTTTGTTACATGGGCTTTCGGATGTCCAGCCAGAGCTGTTTCCGAATGCCATGGAACACCAAACCATCGCACCTGAAGTCACAGGCTTAGGCAGGGAACCCGGTGTTGGCGTGCATCCTGAACCCAAAGATTCGTCAATTGTTGTTTTTTTTTTTTTAATGTATTCAGCGCACATGTGTTTCGTTATGGGGAGTGCGGTCAGGTGCCCAAGTGCTGTTCCATACTTGCAGATGGATCGAAGTGCCAATTGCATATATTCGAAGCAGCTTCCTACAACAGGTGGTGAAGACGAGCCCACCCAGTTGTGGCTGGTGGCGCCTTTCCGTGCCGTCCAGGGCGAGTATGCGACCTGATTTGTCATTAGCGAGATCGGATCAAATTCATTTCGGCCAGAGCCATGGCAAATCCATTTTTTGCGATGTTCGTTTCAGAACCTAGTCGGCTGAGTGAAGTGCAAAACAACATCAATTGCATGTCTCTGGTGGTGCTTCGTGCAGAGATGCCTTCTATTTCAGATCACTTTTTCAAAGTGCATTCCTCTTGTCATTGCGCATTCCCCTTGATCAATGTGCTGGTCCCTGAATGGTGCCTACATGTGCCTGCAAACCAGCTGAGGTTCTGCAGAAAGGCCGAGACAACTGGAACCAGCCGCTCTGGCGTCAGTCCAAGGGCCCCTCGTGGCTTTTCAGCTCACCGGATGGCTTTTGGCGCTTTGCGAACAACGACCTGGAGCGATGTATCAGGGGGCCCGGGGAGCTGGATGGTAGAGGTCTTGAACGGCCCGGGAGGCAGACAGCAGAAAGCGGGTGAACATGACCAAACTCAAGAGATAGCCTAGTGCTGAGGCAAACGCAAGCGCGCAGACACGAGACACTTGTGAGCCAGTGAGCCGTATATTATTCTATAACAAGATAGATGCAACACACATTAACAAACTACAGCAAAACAGATTGTCATAAAAAAGCACGCATAACGGTAACGCAAAACATAACTTGTACAGTGGACATGATTGCATAACTATGTGAGCATGTGAGTGTATATATATATATATATGTATTTGTATATATCGTGCGTGTTCTTTTTTTATGCACATACATTATGCGTAAACATGTTTGACCGTGTTCCTCACTCTGCTTCTCGACTCAGTTGTAGGAGCTAGCCGAGCACCTGGGCCATATTCAGTCTTCAGAACCTCACGGTGGCAAGCTTCCGCATCAGGCCGGGACAACTCGTGGGGCATGCGCGACTGAAGATTCAAGCAAACGACGTGCCAGGTAGCGCAATGGCAACACCATGATGGAAGTGCTTGGTATGATGACAGTGCCATCAAAGCAGCTCTTCTTAAAGAAGGGTTTTGTTGGTTGGGGCCAGAACTGCCCTCTCATCCGCAACTTGGGATTTGTCAATTAGCTCACCTTGCGTTGCAGCACCAAGGTCACTACTTCTCCTGAAGATTTCGATGCACGACCCAAGGGCGAGGCTGGAAGACATTTGTGGCAGGTATATATATATATATATTTGAATGCTTTTCCTTCCAATGGTCAGCAATCAACATATTCTGAAGATTCTTCCATCTAATAGGCACTCCAGCCGGGCGAACTGTTTTCAAGTAGCTTAGCTCTGACGTAAAAGTGTGGCTTGAGACCAGCCGCATCCGCGGCCTCTTTATTCAAGGGTGCTGGACTGCACACATGACAGGAGCTGAGCTCCTTATGGTTGGTGGCTCCACGCTATGCTTTGCTCCAAGGTGAGTATCGCAAGCAGGCTGGGCGTGCCAATGAAACGACAAAGCCAATCTATGAGACAGGGAACTAGAAGAGCCAGTGGACAGTTCAACCTGCACTGTACACTGTGGACATGGTTATGAACTTACTTGCCGACGCTCTTCAGTGTGCCCCACTGTTGGTTTGAAGTTGCCCGTGTATTTGGGGGCCGAAGAAGGGGGTTCAAAGCTCACGGGAAGAGATGTAAGTACTTGTTTTTTGAAAAAGGCCCAGCCCCCAACCAGTTCAAAACGGACGCATCATTGCTGTTTGTCCCGAGTCCCTGCCCATTGGCGGACTGTGCCTCAGGAGGCCAGAACGGAACGTGGTCAGCCCGTGTGGCGACAAGTGAGCGGAGAAGGCGGTTCTGCTTCGCTGGTTCCGCTGGGCGGGTTTGGAGTTCCACTGGTGTCATTGTTTCATGATGCTCTGCCAAACAGAGGGGCAGGATGGGAAGATTGGGAACCCAGCAAAAGAACAGTTCAGAGGTTCCCTATCTAAAACGGTGCTTGGGTGGGGGTACGGTGAAGGCTTGGGGTCATGTTTGTACTGAGCCTCACAAGCGAGGCTGGATCTTCAGCAGCAGCAAAGGTCGTTGGAATGTCACCGCATGGATCTCGGACCTCGTGGTGCGACAGCTGTAGGATTTGCCACCACAGATGTTCGGATCGCATCCACGATTCTGTTTTCTCCATTTCTCCTGGTCTAACCAGTTGTCCAGAAGAGGAACATGTATATATACATGGCACAGTTGCCTGCGGTGAATCTCGTGAGACCCGGTGATGCAACATGAGGATTTTGAGGATGGCATTGCGAGCAACAGTGGGGGAACTTAGCACACTCTTTTGGCTGGCTGCGATTTTGTTGATGTATGTCCTGGAATGGAAGCTCCTGTCACCTGGGGTAACTTTCACTCAAGAATTTGGCATGCTTTTCGTCCGTGTCAATGAAACTATTTTGCTGTATGCCACATACCTCTCAATATAATCAAAGTAGACCCCAAGACGGGCGGCAAGTGTGGTATGAACATGTCAGACTCTTCACGCTGCAAACAGTTTTGCATTTCGCATCCATTGCACAACCCAATGGAGACATGTTGTTTTTCTCTTGAAGTTGCGATCGTATATAGTCCTAGGCAGTGTGATGGCGACGGCCTCACAGCACAATGGCGAGCCGCCATATCGGATTGAGCAGCTTGATCCCAAAAGAGACGTGGAAGAACAGCCAAGCCAACCAAAAGTAGAGCGCTCCAAACAACAAAGCAACTGATCGATGCAATAACAATACATTTGCAGCATTTGCATGCTTCTATGTTGAGGTTGAGTTCTTGCTCTTGAGGCAATGGCAATTCTTTTGTCAGGGCTCTTGGCAGTTGGATCCAAACATCTTTGTGACGGCGCCTTTGCGGCAATCATTTGGAGATGCTTACCTTTAGGGGTCTCTGTTACTTTTAGGCCGGAACATGCCAACACGCATCACGCACCCATACAATTAGAACCCATAGAAGGGCAACTGGTATAACGTGTGCAATATAAAAGGTTGATTAACACACCCCTACACATGGAGATACAAAACCATTCTCATAGTTTCTCAAGTATTTAGCACTTATGTATGATTTGATCTTAGTAAGTGTTCTGTTTGTTGCGCTTTGCCTCTGTTCCCAGCCTCAGCCGCAGGAGAAGCAAGCAGAGGACAGCTTTTTGCTTCCTGTTTTGTCCATTGCACCTGGTGCTTTTCTTACTTGGCACACTTTCCTGCCACCTTGCCAGACCCATCTCTGATAGAAAAATGTTGCCTGGTCTTCGGAAGGGGTCGCTCCCCTCCTGTGAGAAACTTCCCATAAACACAGGCAAATTTGGAGATAGACACCAACCAAAACCCCCACATCCGCCAGACTCCTCTCCTACCTCGATGTCGCTGCCAGGCCCAACGGCGCATGGCTGAGCAGCAAAGGGAGGCCCTCAAGCGGACGGACCATGCGCCCGAGAAGGTTGGCGGGGCCCGTTTGGCGAGAGCAGTGGGGTTTTGGGACATCACGGGGTCAGACCTAGCCTGAAATCCCATGCACCTATAGAGATCAACAAGTAGTGGCCGGCTTCAAGTCTGGCCAGCTTGAGTGGTCCGAAGAGACCCTAACTATTTGGCGCGGAGGATTGATCAAATGTTTGGGTTTCTCTTATCAATTGTTATCAATTGTGTGAAATTTGAGTTCCAAATCTTCGCAACCTATACAACCTAAGCGTGCAGGATGCAACCAGGCAGACCAGAAGCACATTGGCATGGATGGAGTCAAGAGTTCCAGAGAGTTTCAGCGAATGGGCGAACTCCATGCTTTGGGGAACTGCACATGCAATCCTGTACTGGATTTGCAGAATATATGATATATGGATATATAATGATATATATATATACACATGATATAGAGAGGGAACGCATCCTGTTGCTTCTCTTGTGGTCATTCCACCCCAGGTGTGATGTTTGCCGTGACGAGGTCTGGGTCATTTGCCCGCCGAAGCCGAACCTTCAGGGAGAGTATGCCAAGCAGCGATCTCCTCGGGGTAGGGTTCGATATGTTGGATGAGGGCGCGTCAACAGTAACTAGAGCAGGCAACGTTGTGGCATAAAATGAAGTGTTCCGCCCACAGCATACAGGTCCTTGACCCATACGGGCCCTGACGAAAATGAGCCAGCTGGCTGATGGGCTCACGTGGACTATAGGCCACACATGAGCCACTTGCACTGGGGACTGAGTTGGAAAAAAGCACAAATCCTTCGCCATTTTTAACAAAACAACTTTTCCAAGCCAGGGCCCTTTTTTGGTCCCAAACCGGCTGTGCGGGCGACGCGTGCTCCCGGCCAACTTGAGGCCGGCACGTGTCGAGCGAGGCCAAGCAGTTTGGCGACAGGTGGGAGGCAATGGCATCCTGCGGCTCGGCCCAAACTTAAAGGATCTCATCGTGGACATTTATGTTTCTCACACAATTTTCGTAGATCTTCCTACTTCCTTACCCTCCATGCAAACTTCCTGGCCCTCTGCCCTTTATTGTGTGAACTCCGGCTCAGGTATAGCAACGGCTTAGGAGGCTTATGGTGTGTGGCAACTTGTGCGGCAAGAAGGCTTTTTGAGCAAGGCCTTTGCCCTGATGTTCTGGTGTTGATGTGGCCCACACCAAGGCGACCAAAGAAGCAGACGTCGGGACCCAAGGTAGTTTTCTCATGATGCGTGAGTATGCTCCATCAACTGGCCTTGAATCCAGAAACATCACGAATGATCTCATATCTTTGCAGCTGATTGCATATCTTTAATACGATCATATTAAAGCTAATTGTCTTGGGCCATGACGAGCCCCTGAGGTCCAGAAGAACCTGGGCCTCCTGCAATGTTCCACACCTCACTATGGCCGTCCACCTCATGAGATGGAGGTTTGGGTCCATGGAGAGCATCAGCAGGTATACATACAGGTTCAGATGTGATCACGCAGAGCAGTCTTGCATTGTCTTTTGCATGGCATTTTTTTTGTGGAACTAGGCCTTTTCAAGAGGCATCTTAGTCTTCAACTTTTGCATGATTCCTAGACGTCTCAACTGGACGAGACGGCCAACGAAGCACACACCCCACAAGCCCCCCGTTGATTCCATGCCTCCGAATCGTGCTAGTCGTGGCAATACGCGGATGGCAACTCCTGGCGCGTTCACGCGGACCTGCGTCCGCCACCTCAGACGCTGGTCCCGGATTTGTCAGCAGGGTCCGACTCCGAAGACTCGATTCAGAGCGGGCCACTGCAGGGCCCGAAACAGAACCATGCACAGAATAGATGCTATATATAATATATATGTTTATATATATATATAAGTAGCGTAATTAAGCTGTATTGCAAAATCTGCCATTTCAAGCGGACCTGCTTCACTGCGGGACGATACTACTGTACAGCGCTGCAGACAGAGAGATGTTTGGTGAGCATGCATGAACATCCATGCCTCAACTATCCTTAAATTTTGCTGTCATGGATTTTCCCGTTCGTGATAGATGGATTCATGTGGAATCCTTCCTTCCTTAAGCCCTTGTCCTTCAGGTGTCACAGTGAACCGTCAGGAAGGCTTAGCAGCCCTGGCCGAACAGGTGCGCTAAACCAGGAGGGAGGTCCCTTTCACTAATGACTACCGATTCCTTGCTATCCAGAAAGGGTACTCTAGTGCACCACCAACGTACGTACTATTTGGAGCTATTTGGGTACTCTCTTACAGCTTTTTAACAAGTAATATCAAGTAATATGATGCGTCCTTACACATGCCCCCCGCTTTTCTGTTTGTCACATTTTTTCCGTGGGATCATTCATTCAGTGCACCTTCTCCTGCGTACAGGCTGTGGAATGTATCATTTCGGCCCGTGCAGTGTCACCAATTCACCAGCTTGTCACCACGCTGCAGTGATCAAGGACACGAAAAGGACATTATTAGATTATAGGTAGGTATGGTACAAAACACTATACATACTGTATATAAATAGGTGTGGCATTTCGACCTTCTTCATGTCTCATGACCAAACTGAAGAAAAAGACATCACAACTTTGCTGCAAGAACTTGAGTTTGCCATGTCACCCAAGATGAAGCTGCTTCAGTTGCTGCTTCTGCTAGTTTTGGCAGAAGGTTCTGAACCAGCACTACGAGCAACCCAGGTATGGTCCGTTGCGTCAGAATGCGTCAGATAGATTGATGAGCCTGTTCGCAGTTCAATGCCGACTTTATATTATAGTTTATGGTTGAGGTTGCTTAATCTTCCCCAAAAAATTAGCTTCGCCCTCTCCCAGACCTTCTCAGAGTGTTCAGAGTGCTGCTTGGCACACTGCGAGGTCCGAGGGTTGCGTGCAGCTTTTCTTGACGACGATGAGGTTGAAGGATGGGATCGTCGACTGCAAGATCCTCACCTCAAAGCCTGTGATGAACTTTGGGAACCCAGGGGCGTATGTAGTTGAGAGGCCGTGCCTTATGCAAAACATAGAAAAACAATGCAATGACATAGCATAGCATGTATATTACGATTTGTGGTCATGGCACTGTATATTAGGTGAGCTCAAGCTGATCTCAGATGTGAACTCTGCGCTATAAAGAAGCCTAAGCACAACATATGCGAACTGTGCTGCCGCTGTTTACCGCGTCCGCGCAAGGTAAACACCACAACGAGCATGACCACCACGACGGGCGACATCAACGGAACGAACGTGACAGCTGCACCTGTCCAGGATTTCAATGGCCTCGACAAACATGCGGGTATGCAGGGTGCATATGAGTCTACAATTCGGGGGGGTTGGTCTGCATCAGACAAGGATGGTAATGTAGACTTTTTGGGTTGTTAAAACCAGCTTGTATGGGAGGCTTTGTTAATCAACAGTCTACATTACCCTGGCTGATCTGCATCAATCCCAAAGTAATTGGGAAGAACATGGAAAAACACCCGTCGAGAACTGATGATCACAACCCCTAAGGTAACAGCGCGGGAGATCACGCGCCAAGAGTGTCACGGCAGCATAACCGGAGTGTCGTCATGAATCTGTGAAGAGCCACTGGCCACGCCGTCGGTGGGTTGAGCCCCTGGTCATGACAGAGGTTCCCAGTCAAACAGCTCTCATGGCCCTTGCTGAGGATCATGGGGGTTGGCTTTGCTGGAGGAGCGCTACTGCCACTTGGGGCAAGAAGTGAGAGACCCTGGAGTAGAAGCAGAAACAGCAAAGGTCCGTGCTTCGATTCGACTGGAAGACTGCCTCCAGTGTCTTTGCGGGGGGCCTTGGGAAAGCCAAGGGCAGCACTGCTGGTGAACGTTTTGATGTGGCGAGCCACGTATCGCATCAACATGTTGATGGCGGCGAACTTGAAATGCCTGGGCAAGGCAAGGCAAATTATATGGTTGACTTTTTGCCGTGTGCCGTGCGCGCACCCCTCAATGGCATATGCAGGCACAAGCTAGGCGATGTCATCTTGTCAATCACAGATGTGGTGAGAATGTGAGAGCTAGGCTAGGAGGAGATGAAGCCAACAAACTATGGTTTGACCTTATCGTCCGAGAAGGCTTGAAACGCGAAGAGTGGCAAAGGCTGAATGCTGGAATAATTTGGTTTGATGCCTTGTCTCAGAACCTGTCTCGTAGTCGATGAGCTATAAAGCTCAGGCAGGACATGGTCCAGATTGGGCTCACATTTTCACAGACACGAAGCTGATGATTGAATCACTTAGAGCTGATGATTGAATCCCGTCCAGGCTGCCTTCTCATGGATCGGAACTTTCCTCCAGCAGCTTGCAGCTGTTGCGTCAAGTTTATCATAATGACCTCCACGTAATGTCATGAATAGTACTCCCCGAGCTGCATCATGTTTAAAGGAGTTAGCATGTTTCGAGTGTTGATGAAGCTAACTATATCCAGCTATATTACTCATTTGACCGACATTCGGTGCAAAAGCTGAGGTGGCTGATGCTATTCCTATTGGTTGTCCCCATCGGCCTCATTGCTGTGGCTGCGCAACAGGCTCGGCACTTTATGGAGACTTCCAGGGTTGTGCCACGACCTGCCATGCTGTCAAGGTTGCCAACGACTCTTGGCGATTGGCTTCACTAGGCAGCCTCATTGCGGCTCGGATGGCACCATGTCTTTGTGTGCTCAGCTGTGCTACAGCTGTATGCTGCACTAGCAGCTTCACTAGGTCACTAGGTATTCCTGTAACATTCTTGACGATACTTTTGGTATGCCTGAAAACTCGTGTGCACGAATGCATTGAACATGTTGAACCCCACATCAAGATGACGCTGTTATCATTTGTTATTTGTTGTTCCCGGGAAAGGCGGCCACGGTGTACTTTGGAAGTTTTGCCTTGGGCCGTGCCATTGCGGACTCCTTCTACTTCAGCTGGTTCGCCGTTGGCTTTGGAACGATCTCTAGCTGCAGGGAAGGCAACCGTACAGAAAGCTTCGGCAAGTACGTTAAAGCTTGGCCACCTTCGGCAGTGGGTTCCCGAGGCTCACATTCTTCACCTTTGGCGGCTTCTTCTGCCAATTTGTGTGGATTGTTGAGCCTTTCGAATTCACCGCCACCTCTGTGTCTCGTCCGACGTGGGAGCCACGTGACCTTTTTGAGTGGAGAAGACCCCGATCCCAACGGTCGCTATGCTGGAGACTTTTTGGATGCATGAGCTTGAGGCCCCGGCGCGATAGATGAGGGGCCAGAACACATGAGTCATCATGAGTTGTTTTTGACATTTCTCTTTTGGATGGTCAGTCCTTTGGGGTTTGACTTTTGCTGCTCATTCAAGGGGAAACTGCCAATGGACGCTCAATGGGCCCAGGTGGTGATGCTCACCGTCAGCGCCGTGCCGAGTATCACTTTGGCTTTCCTCTTTGGGAAGTGGCAGAGCAGCCGGCATGTCCTCGCGGTCTTATCGGACGAGGAGGGGGGGTGGTGTGGGCCGTTCGGGAAGACACGCCGCCCAGGCCATCAGAGTGCAGGGACCGACTAGGCTTTGGTACATGCGATGAAGTCTCATGTCATGTCTCGTGGAGGGGTCAGGATGAGATCGGGTCACATAGAAGCCGTAACGATGAAGTTCAGGACCTGTCTGGGATAATTAGTAATAATTAGTAGTCACTTGTACCAGCTGAGAGTTGCTGAGTAACTTCAGGTGGTGGCCACCTAAGACCATTAATGCCTCCTTGAGAGCCTTGCCCCGGCGGCACTCGCCTGATCGCACAGGAAGAGATGCGCTCCCCGCTTCTTGGCATCTCTTGAGGAACTGGAGGGAGTTAGAGTAGTCATTACAAAAGTAGTCATTAGGCTCACAACCGATGTTCTTTTCGCCTGGTGGGCCTGGCCAACATTCCAAGTATGGCGTTTTGACTCTAGCTCGTGGTCAGTCTTCATGCCTACGTTTCCACAAAAATAATCTAGGAACCAAATTATTAGTGCGAGCGCTTCTTCAAGGAAGCTTCCCGGCCACCTTTGGGGCGGCGGGGCGGAGCTTCCTTGAAGAAGCGTGAGCTATCCCGCGTCCTAAGTAGTAGCTACTTGTATGTAGTAGCTACCTAGCTTCTACTAGCTACCTCCCTAGCTAACCTACCTCACCTCTAAGGCCTACCCCCTCCGGGCTTTTATTTTTTTTATAACATCCGAAACATCTAGAAAGAGAAAGGCAACAAAACAAATGAACTTTGATATCGGTTGCGGTCGCTTGCTACAGGTCTGCACTACCCAAGACTCGTTGGAAGAGAATCGCTTTGATTGTCTCGCTCTTTATCGTGGAGCTGGGCATCTTGGCAGCCTACGGCCACTTGACTGCACTTGGCACTCGGCTGCTGATCTGACAATTCAGCCAGTGGGCCAGAGACGGGCAGAACTCAGAACTCGAGATGGCAGTGGGTCAAAACCCGCCCCAAACTGGTAGGTTAACCTCGTAGGTAGTCTATTCTGTTCATTCTTGGTGGGAAAAACCCAGGGTGTCCCAGTATTGACCCACAGCCTGTCGAAAGATGTCAGTCGATGTGCGTTGAAGTGCGTCGAAGATCCTGCAGATGTCAGTCTCCAACCCACACAAAAGATCCGATAGAATCACCAAGGGGTGACCTGAATGTGCGCAACTCCAGGGACATTGTTTCACTCCAATCAGCTTTAGACCGCCTGCAGGTCTGGCAGTCTACATGTTGGACAGTCGACCAGCGGTGAAGAACGTGGGCTTCGTGTTGGTGATTGGCGTCGTAATCCTGGATGCCATGGCTGGGGGCCACAGCATACAGGCTGAGTCGGCCGAGCGTGGTGGGCTGAGTGGGATGGACCTGAGATGGGAGCCAGGTGCTCGTGATCTGGGGGCGATGACAAGTTGAATCCGGATAATCTGGTTGAGCTATGTTGAGCTACTACACTGTGACAGTCACAATTTGGAACAGGGAATGAGTGCTGTTGGGTTTTGCTGTAGGTTTTGGTGGGTTTTCGGGGAGAGGTTGGACAGCTGCGACAGATATCTTTTTTGCGCACAACGGGGGCCTCGTGGACTGGACGACCACCAGGCAGGGCATTGGGTCGCTTTGATATGTCATCGCGAATCAAGCCTCATGTAAGGCTGTGAAGGCTGTGAGGGATCTTGA